AAAAACTGTATGTTGCTAGGTTTTTTCATATATCTTATTTTTAAAAGTGATCTTTTGCTTGTGGCTAGAAGTTTACAAAAATCCTCTGCTGGTCATGTGAATGAATTATTGCCAACAATTTTAAAACAGGTCTATGAAGTTTTAATGGCAGACAGTTAAATGTCGTGAAATCAGAGACTGGCCCCTTGCCTCATTCTTAGGTAATTTTTTGGATGATGATTATCCCAGTGGATTCTAAGTTAATATATAAAGTTTCAAATTAACCCAGAAATCTTTAAATTTGACGTACTAGAAAATTTAAGAATCCCTTTGAAATCTTCCTTTCATTCTAATGGGAAAAAAGGTATCATGTCTGTGATAAAATTTCTACAGGATTTCTACTTTTTTCCCAATTCAAAAGGACAGCTGGCTATCAGATCTTTCCTAACAGAAGTGCAATATTAAGCTTTCAACCAAAATTTATGTGATAACTAAGAAAAGAAAAATATTATCAGTAATCTCAGTTACTGATGAAACAAATATTTTTATTTGAAGCTATATCTACCATACTGTATAGGTATACTGTATATCAGCAAATACATGATAATCATTAAGGAAGAATTTCCTGGGCCAGGCATATAGCTCAGCAGCACAACACCTGTCTGGAAAGCATAAAATTCTCAGTTCTATTCCTGGTACCAGAAAGAAAAAAAAAAAAAAGGAAACATTTCCAGATTTTTACAGTGGGCAAACCTTTGTATTCATTCTCTGTATCATTCAGATGGGTCATTACTGACTTCAGAGGATACAAGTGTGGTTAACATTTAAGGACCATCTAAAAGTTACCATGGATCTTTCTTGTACAGAATTGCTTTTAAAAACATTTAAGTAAGACAATAGAAATTTGTTTTTTGGCATTTCTGGTTTTGGGGCTTAAACCCAGGCCCTTGTGCATGCTAAACAAGTTCTGTAGAGTTACACATTTGTCTCAGAAGTATTATTTTATAATTTCTAGATCTCTCCCATAATTTTTTTGGTAGGTGATATTAATCTTAATAACAAGCTCACTAGTTTGTCAAGGGTGTGTGTGTGTGTTTGTGCGTGCATGTGGTCGCTGTATTTTAAAACACTGGGGTAGGTTATGCAGTATACCCTTTGTATAAGCACAAAATGAAATACTTAATCTGTAAGATTTGTTAAAATCTATAAAAAACATATGATAATTGTAAATATAAAACTGAAGTTAGGCATAGTTTTGCATGCCTGTAACTCCAGTATTCAGATGCTGAGGTAGGAGTATCACTGTGAGTTTGAGACCAGTGTGGGCTATATAAGGGTTCAAGGTCAGCCTGCACTATATAGCAAGACCTTGTCTCAAACCAAACCAAATCAAATCAAACCAAACCAAACCAAACCAAACCAAACCAAACCAAACCAAACCAAATCAAACCAAATCAAACCAAATCAAACCAAACCCTAAAGACTGAAATGTTCCTTAGTTGATACTTTCCTAAAAAGTAAGGACAATTTGTTTATCATCCAAGTTAGTTCCTTAGAGTGTAGTGAAGATAAATCAAAATTGGTCTTTCTACAACTTCTTTTGGGAGAGGGATGCTGGAGACTGAACTCAGCCACACTCCCGAAATACAAAACAAAATTTACTGTTTCTCAGGAGATTAGCTAGGTGCAGTTCATGTCCTGACCTAGGGCCTTGAACAAGCTAAATAAGCACTCTACTACTGCTTTTTAAGAAGCAGTCTATCATGGAAAGTTTTCTACATCAGTCACTATATTCTTGAAGCAGTCTCATTTTTGAAAGAACAATGAGGCATCTTGGAAAACCAGGATTAAACTAATCTGACAAAATTGAAAAAGATTTCAAGAAAAAAGTAGTAACTAAAGAAGCACTGAGGATATAATGAAAAGACATACCTTCTGGGTTGTGACCGGCATTCTTCTTCCCCACTGTCTGCCTCCTAGATAGAGAGAAAATGAAAATTAAAATCTGAAGTTTCATATCACAATATTACTAGTGGAATTTTAATAAGCTTTATATGTGGGAATATTTCATTCATGTTGTAAAGCATTTAAACTAAAGTCTCCTTATAAAAGATGATTTCTACCAACCCAGGAGGTTGATAACAGTAAAATTTATTCCTAGAGAACAAGAGCAACAGTTCACAAAAATTTTTATTGGTAACCAAGTGCTACTTATTAAAACAATCACTTCTAAAAACTAACTGAATATATTATGCTACTCTTATGCTACCTCCACTCCAAAAGTGGGAATTCTGAGTACCACCAATATATCTCATCAAGAGGCCTTAGGATTTTGATCCCCAAAGAACACTCTAAGCAATAAGTACAATTTCTGAGTGCTCATGACCAAATCACCAACACCATCAACATAATGGTTACCACTTACTGAATATTTATAGCAGGTCAAGCACTGTGCACAGCATTTTAACTGCATTATCCTACTTATTCTCCACAAACTCAGAGGGTAGATGATGTGTATCATATTTTTTTAATTTGAATGTATATATAAAGGAAAAATCATTGTAATTAATAAAACACTAAGTCACTCCTTAACTACAACTTACTGATTTTGTTTTCCAAGATATGTTCTTGCTAGGTAGCCAGGTTGACTTCAAATTCACAAGCTACTGCTTCAGGATCTAGAGTGCTAGAATTAGTTAATGCTACCATGCCTACTTGCAACTTTTATATTTTTAGTGGGACTAAACTAATAGTCTTATAATTTATGGCAACTTCAACTCAATGAATATTTTACAGATGAAGAAACTAAAATTCACAAAAAGTAAATAAGTTGCTCAAGCAAACTCATGTGACAAAGCCAGAATGAAAACCAATAATATACTGTTTCCTAACCTATTGAAAACTATATACTTCTCCCTAACCTTGGTTGGCAATTAGTTATAGTGCAGTACACTATCTGCCTGTGGAAGAGATTTTAAGTTCAAAAGGTATACTCTCCAGGAACTAAAAAAGGGTGATAAAATGGAGAAGAAATTACTGTCTCTGGAATCAATAACAAGAATCTAGAAAAATAAAGACTGAGATGAACAAACAAGAATTTTGTTTTTGTCCCCAAGGGAATACTAATATATATAAATTATTTCCCAAGATGTCATTTGACAAATAGTGCTTCATTGCTGTTATTACTGATTAATAGATCTCAAATTCTGATGTAGTTGTCACATTGTTTTTATTGTATAAAGTGTTATATAATGAAGAATATATCTAACACATATTTAAGTTACTGAGGCACAATAGTAAAGTGAAAATCTGTGAGCACCATTTAACCTAAGAGCTAGAGTAGTATTAATAACTGCACTCAGTTCCCATTTCTCATTCCTTTCCTATTCCTATGATATGAGTACTATCCTAAGGTTTATAATTTTCTTTTTTTAAAAAAATGTATTTGATTGTTACAGTGTCTCACTATGCAGCTCAGACTCATAGTGATCCTCCTGCTTTCAGTCTCCCCAGTGCTGGAATTACAAGCATATGCCACTATATCTGGTCTCTGTGGCCAGCTCAGCAAGCTAGGGGGCGAGGCTGGCATGGCACGTGGTGCTGGGGATTGAACTCCAGTCCCTGCGCTTGCCTAAGCACACACTTAGTCTGCTGAACTATCTTGCTGGCCCCAGGAATTAAAATTTAAAAGAGGTTAAGAAAAAAAAAAGAAAAAGAAAAAATAAGAGAGGTAGAAGAAGGGAAAGAGATTAGAAGTAAGGCTGGAAGACAGAGAGGGAATCATGTTAACTTTGAGAAACCGGTGCAGAAAACTGGAGGAAAGACAGAAAGAAGAGATGAAAAGAAGAGAACAGAACAGTAACCACAAAGAGGCTATAAACTATGTTCATACTCATATAAGAACAAGATCAAACAGGAAGGAAAGAAAAACAAAATAATAACAAAACCATCACCACCACAACAAAAAACAAATAGAGAGAGAGAGAGAGAGAGAGAGAGAGAGAGAGAGAGAGA